CCTCCGGCAGCACAATTTATTAGTTGATGTTCGAGGACAGCGTCTAATTGAGGCAGAAACCTTCTCGCATATCTCATGCTCGGTCAGTTCCATTTCAACAATTCAACTGGCCCAGATCTGGCCCTCATAGAACCATCAAGCAATAGATTCCGCAAGATTTTCAACGAGTATCCCGAACTCTTAAAGCCTGCTTTTTCCACAGCAGACGTCAAGCATGGTGTGCAACACTTTATTCCCACGAAAGATCGACCTGTTTTTGCTCGTGTTCGTCGCCTGGCACCAGACAAACTCGCGTCTGCAAAGGAGTTCCTTGAGATGGAGAAAATGGGCATAATACGGAAATCAAACAGCCCCTGGGAATCGCCTCTGCATGTTGTGCCTACAAACGATGGAGGTTCCCGCCCATGTGGAGATTACCGCAAGTTGAACGATGCTACAGTCCCAGATCGTTACCCCATACCCCATATTCAACATTTTTCTGCTCGTCTAACTGGTAAGACCATTTTCTCTAAAATTGATCTTGTTCGATGATATCATCAGATCCCTATGGCGCCCGAGGACGTACCTAAAACGGCAGTGATCACACCCTCCGGTTTGTGGGAATTCTTGAGGATGCCATTCAGGTTAAAGAATGCAGCACAAACATTTCAGCAACTGATGGACACAGTGCTTCAGGACCTAGATTGTGCGTTTGTCTGGATGATATCCTAGTTGCTAGTTCATCAGCCCAGTCTCACGTAGATGATAGATGACCTCAACGCAGTTTTTCAGCGGTTGCGACACCACGGACTGGTGATTAAACTTGAAAAATGTCTTTTTGGCGTTGCATCACTTTATTTAAAAAAAAATCGGGTTTCTGCGTCAGGTTCAACACCTATGCTCTCAGGGTTGATGCCGTTAAGGAGTTTCCTAAGTCAAGGACAGTCAAAGCGCTGCAGGAGTTTCTGGGTGTACTGAATTTTTACCATCGTTTCATTCCCAACATCGCTGCGATTTTGCACCCACTTTACTACGCTCTGAAAACAGCCAAACCTCGTCAAGCTCTACTCTAGTCTAAGTTGGACCGATGAAATGAACCAGGCATTCCTTTCGGGTAAACAAGCATTGGCAAACGCATCCATTCTGGTTCATCCGTGTGCAGACTGCCCAATGGCTCTCACTTGTGATGCATCTGATGTGGCCGTCCGTGCAGTCCTCGAGCGATACAATAATGATCGTTGGGAGCCTCTCGCCTTTTTCAGCCGGCAACTACGTAAGCCAGAAATGAAATACAGCACCTTTGATAGAGAGCTTTTTGGTGTCCACCTTGCAATACACCATTTCCGGTACATGGTGGAAGGTAGGCAATTTATTATCTACACTGATCACAAACTGTAGGTCTCTGCAATGTCAAAAACTACAGACTTGTGGTCAGCCCGGCAGCAATCTGCTATCTCAGAATTCAGCACTGACATCAGGCACATATCTGGGAAGACAAACATTGTTGCCGATTATCTCTCACGTTCTGTGATCACCACTAATGCAGTCTCACTGGGCATAGATTTTGTAACCTTAGTAGCAACTCAGCAGCCAAGTACAGCTCTGACATACAGGCATACACTTCAGCTTTCTCAAGCTTAAAAGTCGTGAAAACGAACTTGAGCGACCAAAGTCCCGAAGTCCTTAGAGACATTTCTACTGGCAGAGCTCGGCCCATAGTTCCTCCAGAGTTCAAATGTCAGGTGTTTGATTCTGTACACAACCTTGCACACCTAGGGGTTAAGGCTGCTGTCAAGCTCATCTCAGAAAAGTTTGTGTGGCATGGCCTACGACGTCAGATTAGCAGTTGGGTGAAGCAGTGTCACGAATGCCAGACGTCGAAAATCCAAAAGCGCACCCGTGGTCCCCTAGAGACATTTACAGTACCCGACAAGTGGTTTTCACCCATCAATATTGATATAGAGGGTCCACTTCCTCAGTCCTGTGGTCAACTGTATCTTTTTACCATTATTGACCGCAACACACAACAGAGGCGATTCCTATACCTAACATAACAACAGACGAATGTATTAACGCTGTCATAGGACGCTGGATCTCCCATTTTGGTGTTCCTGCCGATATATCATTGGACCGAGGATCTCAATTCACTTCTGCAATTTGGACTGACATAGCTAAACGCCTTGGAGTCCGCTTACATAGACCAACGGCTTTTCACCCCCAAGCAAATGGAATGATCGAATGGTTCCATCGCTCACTTAAAACGGCATTGAAGGCCAGACTCATTGGTAACAACTGGGTGGAAGAACTTCCTTGGGTACTCCTTGGGCTCGAACCACTCCCAAAGGATGACCTGGGATATTCATCAGCAGAACTGGTCTATGACGAGCCACTGACCGTTCCAGGTGACCTTTTACCCTCTGAAGCATCTGCCTGGTCAGCAACAGATTTTTAAACAACTTTTCGAGCTAAAGCACAGTTCACTAGGCCTAGACCGGCTATCCACCATTGACCCAGTCACATACTTCCCACCATCTTTGTTAACAGCGAAGTATGTTTACATCCGCACAGATACTGTGAAAGGTTCACTTCAAAGACCATACACAGGTCCTTACATGGTGCTCGCCCCAGGAGAAAAGACCTTCCTTCTGGACATCGGAGGCCGCACGGAACGCATCTCAGTAGATCGCCTCAAGCCTGCACAGGTAGACCACACCCAACCTGTCCATCTATTACAACCAGCACGATGCGACCGCCCTCCAATGTTACGGGAACCAAAGCCTACCGTTAGGAACACCGATGGGCGAGAGCAAGCTACAGAGGCCGTTCACCACAGACAACTCATGTAACAGTTCAGTGAAAGTGTCCAAGCTGTTTGGGTGGAATGTATGAAAGTTATGTCTCATCCTGCTACAACATAGGGCTACATGTGTATATATCTCTATTTTGTTGGCATAAAAAAATCATTCACTGTAAAGTCTGACCTTCTGAACCACTTCAGCAAGATCAATTCAATACATACTGGAATCACAACCTCGAAGTCATCCAGCTACCCTTTCAACTTTCAAAAACATGGAAATGAGATCATTAGACTTCTTTTGTCAAAAAGAAAAGAAAAGAAGTCATGTAATACATGCATGCAGACAATCCTCAAGAACATAAGACTCACTATTACTATTAGAATTAAAACCAAGGAGTGGAGCCATCTTCTACTTCTTCTATTGTTCATGGCGAGCTTCAGTTTTTTCTTTGCCTGAAAACAGAATCTGTCATGACATGTTGGAATCAGGCGCTCGTCAATTTTTGGGCATTTAACGTTATTGGTATCATCTTGAAGCTTGTGCGTTTGTCTTGCTTTTGATCACGAAAAAATACCCATCTATCATAAACAGAAGTCAAGATATTTTTGACTGAATGAGGTGAGGTCGCCTGGTGTCGGATCAGAGTTAAAATTAAAGAAAAAATGGTTGCCAGCCGCCAAAGTTTGGTGGCTTCCTCCGGTGTCCTTGGCAACTCTAAATTTACAAAAATTTTTTTGGCTTTAGATCAATGTTTTTCCAGTAAAATCAACACAGAAATTGTTACGAAACGAACATTAAAATTAAAAGTGTTGAGCCCCCAAAAATTGATAAAACTTGCTCAAGGGGCAAGGAAATGTCGTTTTCTTTGATTAACCCTTCATTATTTTGATGAACACCTGATTTCATCATGATGCCACATATAAGGACTAAAAAGAAAACTTTAAGGGGAGACGTACACTCCCGGAAAATTTTTCTAAACGCATAACTTTTATTCAATTTTATGTAATTGTGCAAGAAGTTCATAGGTAAATAGGATGTACTAGGGGTGAATTTGTTCAATTTTTCTGAAAAATGGGTCTCTGTGGTGGCCATCTTGGATTTTCAAACCAGTTTCTTAGTGCAGACGAATTTCATAGTAAATATTGAATTATCAGCCTCAAATTTGGCACACAAGTATAAACCTATATGAACTGGGGATCTATGAAAGGATTTTGACCTATCTTTAAAACTAAAAAAGTGAGCCCAAAGTCATTGGACCCCCTAGAGTCAGTTGACGAAATTTTGGGGTACATATTACAAAAAAATTGAATATTTCCTCAAGTTACCAATATTTCCCAATTCCCTTTCATAGATCCCCAGAATCGATCTTAAAGCACCTGTACACCAAATTTAAAGCTTCTAGCTTCTATAGTTTTTGAAAACTCCTTGCACCCAGGAGGTCACATATGTCAAAAAGTAGAATTTGAGAGAAACAGAAAAAACAGGGATTTTTAAAAGGATTTTTAGAGCAATTTGCACTTTTCAAACGCCCTTTTAGGTCATTTAGGGTGTTTTTTCAATAGTTTCTTCATTTTGACTCGATAGAACAGATGTCAAAGGATGTTTTTCCGCAAAAAACAAAAGTTGGATAGTTTGAAAAATTGTATCCGGTAGAGGTAGGATGCAGAGGTTTTGTAGCAACAAGCGCCCGTAAGTGGATGAGAGTGGCAGGACTTACTGCAAAGAAAAGCAACGAACTCACAAACTCCCTTCAGGAGACAGCAGAGAAAGCCAGTCATTGGATCTGGTTGAAGCGAGAGGACTCAGGCTGGAATGAATCCTAAAGTTGGCAGCAGAGGAAAACAGTCGAACTAACATGGAGACCTCACATCGGTGAGGGGGCTCGGTGCGTCAGAAAAGCTGTAGAGAGGAAGAGCCCGAAACAGCGACGCATTCTCTCCTGATGATCTCCATGCTAGAGTCCGGGATACGGAGCGTTCGACGGTGAGCAGTGCATACGGCTGTTTAGACTACGATATTGCCTTGGGTCGTCGACCCGGGTCTTCCCTTAAAGAAAAGGGAGGAGCAGATTGTGAATCACACCGTCGGTCGACGTCATATTCCACAAATAATTTTTTGAAGCTTTAAAAAAAAAGTAATTGCCCTAAATCAGAACCATGACTTGGGTACCTGTAATTATTCAATTTTTTAAAAAGTAGGAAGGAGGAAACAAAATAGTCTATATTATGAGATACCCCATGATGTCTTTATTTGAACTACAGCTTTACCTGGAAATTAAAAAAATTGATTTGGCCAATTGTAGAATGACACTGACCATAAATACATCATGTTCATAATAATACACATAATATATACATGTATATAGATGTAGAGAGAGAGAATGAGGGCGGGAGAGAGAGATGGAGAGAAAGAGAGAGAGAGAGGGAGAGAGAGAGAGAGAGAGACCAAAGGGTAGACATACCTCTATACTATACAGTACTGGCATTGTGTACTCTAATAACATCAGCTTTGAGATAAGTATTACCGCATGAGGGACACTTGATGGTTTTAGATAATGCTTGTGTTAAACAATTACGGCAAACTATGTGAGAACAAGGAGTCCCGTACGCCACGCAGGACGAAGTAACAGGTTTTTGGCACAACGAACAACTGTTGGATTCAGCATCCATGTCACTGTTGGTACGTGATGAGCTGGGAGATGAACTTATTTGACCAAGCATTGCTTGGAGAGCACTATCAAGACTGTCTTTGAGGCGGCTCTCATGGCTCTCAAGCAAATCCGAGCTGGGACTGGATACGAAAACTTTGCGCGACCTTTCATTACTGGAGGTTGACACATGCTCAGTATGATGATCTCCCTTAGGAAAGGGAAGACATTCAGTCTTGGCTTTTTTCTTTGGAATGACACTAGGTGGTGTTGCTGATGAGACATAGCTTTTCCTTTTCATTTCCATCACTGGCTGGTCTTCCCCAACACGCGGTTTGTGTGCTGGAGGAGCCAGTGAGCTTACACTTACACAACTCTTTCCCCCAGTTGCTTTCTTGGTATATGATTTTGCTGTACCAACAGTCCTTGCTACAGAAGCAACAGCTGCATCTTGACTGTGCTTCAGTAGGTAATGGTCTATTCTTATCTTCAACGCACCATTTGGAAGGGGCCTACATGAATCTGTGAATTCAACCCCAGTGAAAGGATCTCGCGGTTTTCGTCCAAATGAAGCTTCACTTTTAAAGAATCTGTCTAAGGTACCCATGTCAACATTCTTCCCACTCGGCAGCAACATTGGGACAGCCATTACTTCACATGTGATAGGGTCAACAAAGTCCTCAGGGATGTCGAGTTCCTGAGAGTTTGTGGCCTGTGCATCCACAGAGTGAGGATTTGATTTTAGTTGTTTGACATCAGATGTCTGGCCATTGTTACCAGAGGCTGAGGCCCCACATTTTGTTGAAGAAGAAAATATTGAGTTATATTTGTTCTGAATCTGAGCTCTGATGACATTTGACAAGGAATGTGAAGGCACACCCCAGATGGCTATATTGCTCAAGCAAGCTGTGGAGCCTGAGCGAGTCTGGGTGATTCGAACACACAAGTGACTACATGCCGTCAGAAGTTCCTTTTTAGAATGACGCAGAACAGCTTTGTTTTCAAAAGATGCAGGAAGTGGAATATTACTGCTTTGGTGCTGAACATTTGCATTTGAATTTGGATTGTAAAAACACATCTGTGCACTATTGGAAACAGACATTTTAGCCAAGTTGTAGAAAAATGGAGGAGTCTCAGATCTCACTGAAGAAGGGTTGTTCAGAACTTTGTCCAACTTTTTGCCTTCTCTCATAGCCTTAGAAATGGGCTTAGCTGCTGCAAAGATCTCAAACTGAAGTGATTGCTGTTGGCCGATAGAGGGATAAGCTGTAACTTGATGGATGCTGATGTGACAGGGGAATATGAATGTTATGTTCACTGGCGGCTTTATGAAGTGCTCAGTCATGAAGCCGGTTCTCTTCAAACGAAGGTCAGTGCTGATTAAATTTGAGGGTTCGTGACCATCAGTGCTGACTTTATCACTAGAGACAGTGGTGCCCAGGACACCCAGGGAAAAGTCAATCATGCTCCCGGTGTGACCTGTGAAGATGAAAAGACAGGATGGAATACGGACTGAATTCATTTTCATTCTCTCTATCAGTATATGAGTGATCAATCAAGCCTCACTAAAATGGGACAAATTTGAATTTCTTTATGATTCGTGGAAATCATAACGTAAGGAAACATATGCTAGAAAATAAATAAAGTGTGTTTTGGCAGTAAACTGGTCTAGTTGTAATCTACATCTGTGGGTGGTACGGTACAAAGAGGTAAATATATATATATAAATTTATAAAATATTTGATTTAGTCTAATCTGAGTAGCGTGGAAACCATATTTATAATAAATAACAAGCCTGGTAATAATAGGGATCTGGTAATAACAGGAATTTTTTATATCCCCGTTTTTTCCTACTCTTTGTCTCTATTGAAAGTTATTAATAACAGGGCCATATCGGAGCCCAATCAGTTATAGCAGAGACAAAGGCTCGTCAACAATGTGTAAAAAGTAAGAAGTAATGCACTGGTTGAGCAAGCCCACGCAAGCCACGCCACTACAAGCACATGCAGCGGGTGAAGCGAGAGAGGGCTGCGGTGCGATGCTGTAGACTTCGATCTTGTCTAGCCCTAAACCAAGCTACACGTATGTGTAACGTGTCCTGCGCAGGCCTGCCACATGGCTACGAGAGAGGCCGGGGTGTGATGTTTGTGGGTACTTGTGGCAAGGGAAACTACCCATGAATAAATACAGCTGGATTAGTCCACAAATGCTTACTTCCCTTGCATTTCTGATTTAACAGGGATCTGATACAACAGGACTTTTTCTGTGGTCCCATCATCCCTGTTATATCAGGTTTCCACTGTAATCTTCTTTTTGTTTTCAAAGAGGTCATCTTTTTTGGGATAGATAATTTCTAAAACCTGTGTATTGGTAGCTGACTGACAGGAAAATGATTCAAACAACATCACAGACAGTCAAATTAAAAAAAAATCGTAAAACTCTGCTGAGACCCTGAAAATGACAAATAAAAGGAATGAGCAGTTGACAGTTGAAAAAGGGAAGGGCACTTTACAAAACGAAATTAGTTCACTTGACTCCCAGCAGTTTATGGCACTGATTATCATATAATCTGCTTATATCGACAAGCTTTGGGAAGTGGATTTGATATCGATATATTTATATATAAAAATGTCGATAAATGAAAATATAAAGCCACTGAGAAAAAAACAAGGGGAGGTCAGTGGTAAAAGACAACACAACTTTTTAAGCTAGTTGCTTCCCTTCATTCTTGAAACTGACAAGAGGCAGAGGGGAGGGGGGGTTGGAGCTATGGTACAAAAGGCCGAGCAGCGCTAGGCGCACACTACACACCAGCGCAAACTTTGTTGCGGCATCCTTGTAAGGCCTGTTTATGGCCGCTTGCTGGGGAAAATGGCTCACTGACCATGGCACTTGCCAGCGATAGACTGACAATGGGATGGGGAAGGGGAGTGAGCGATTGGGAGAGAGTGTAGGGAGGTGATGCCCAGCGCACGAGATGGTAACGTTTGTGATGCACAGTAGTGTGTTGGAGACTACACTGTGTAGGCCCTACATGACCTACTAAAGCCTGGTGTGTCGAATAGGCTACTTGGCGGGTATGCAGACTTAATGAATTATGAAGAACAGTGGCGGCGAAGCGTCAATATAATCAAATAACCACTGCTTCCCTTCCTAATTTTGAAACATTGTCGCAGTCAAATTTACCCATAGAGATGTAAACTTCATAAATTAAATTAAGTAAAAAGACATTCATTTAAATCACCAAAGAACAGTATGCCTAAAATTCAATACTGTTTCATTGCCACAGAAATAGCCTTCTATTCTATCACCCCTATCGGGCCACTCCATAATAAGCAGTCGCAAGCTTTGATTAAGTACGCTCACAAAAAGAGGCTGGAAGAGTCTACCAAAAGAGTTGAAGGGAACATGTATAAAATACCACTTAAAGCTGTGTCATTGCCACATATGTACCCTGTTCACCCCTTTCGGGCCACAGTTATTAAGCAGTCAAAAGCACTGATTACGTAAGTTAACTATTACACCGGTCGAGTCTACCTCACAGATGTGAAGGGAACTAAAGTCCTAATAATACCTTGACTGCTGCGAGTTCTTGTTTTTTTTCCTCCACTTTTTACCGTCCTATAATCAGATCGTGACCTCGATTATGACACCGGCTCCTGGCCGCGAAATACTAGAGAAAAAAATAGCCAAACGTGAAATTTAAAAAACCAAACTTTCAGAAATAACAAAAAATTTCCCCTACTGGGTCTGTATACTTCATGAATTCATTACCGGTTACCGAGTCTGTAGATTTAGATCTAGATTCTAGATCTATACACTATGTCACGTAGATCTAGATTATAGATCTAGTATAGATAGATCTAGAGCCTTGATTCACCTTGAATCCTTGAAGGCTTGAAAGGCATGTTCTAGAATCTAGGCGAGATTCTAGCTCTATTATATGTGACACTTCACTGAAACCGAACGTTTAGAAAAGTATATTAAAAAGGGAAGGACTTCCGTAACGAGTGACCACCCCAACAAACACAATTTAAAGAAGAGACCTAACCCTTTAACTTCTAACCCTAACCCCTAACTTAAAGCTTATTTTAACCCAAACCCAAACACAACCAAATGATAATCACCCCTACCCCTAGATCTACCCCTTTATTCCACTCTGTCTCATAGTGGTCGCTCGTTACGGAAGTCCTCTCCTTTAAAAAGTGGTCTGCCTCGATAAATTAAGACATTTATAGTTCTATTTTTAAAAAAAATTAGGCTAATATAATGAACACGAAAACTAACCACAACACAGGCTTCCTTTGATTTCTATGTCTCTATGCTAGTTTCCAGATATCGTAAGTTCGTAACTGCGGGAACTGCCACACTGCCTGCCACAAGCAATGTTGAAGAGCAGGAACAGTAACTCTCGACGCCAGGTTTCTCGCGACAAGGTTCAAATTTTGTGTTGATGCCACTGATGCCAGCTGATGGCGGATCCACTGTCACTGACACTGTCAGTGGTTCTGAACAGCCGTTAGAAGTTAGAACTAGGATCTAGATCTAGTTTTGTAAGTCTAGTAGAATCAGGCTGGCGTGGATTGAATTTTTTGGGTTATTCTTGTGGTGTGTGTGCAGGCCTACGACCCTACGTTTTTTAGTCCATACTTTTACTACACTACACAAATAAACGTAAAAACAACACTTACACTGCCAACACACCCTGACACCGACACTACACTGACTCTTAATTAGTGACAAATTAACTAATCATCAGTGTCAGTATCAGTCTGATGACAATCTAGTCTTACTTAGAAGTGCTTTTTCTGCACTTCTAGCTAGCTTCTCTTGAGGTAGAGAAAAGTAGAACTTTTAGTTAGGCATAGTGACATGCGATTATTAAGACGCAAACTATTTTTAGGTAAGGCGCCCATCTTGTTTGACGTCAGACCAGGATACCCCTCCAATCATGTGACTACATCTAAGTATAGCCAACCGCATGGCACCAAAGATGGAAGTGTCTATGTATATCATGCTAAAATCTACACCTCTCTCAGAAGTTCTGATGGCTCAGCTGAATTGACAGCGCGTCAGCGTTTGAAGTCGTGCAATGATTTTTGAGGCGGTTCGATCCCGGACAGTTTTTTTTTTCTTTTCTCCTCCTCCCGACTGACCAACAGTCTCATAAATTCTAGGCCTAATTTGTAGAGTTGCTTTGAAGTTGTTTAAAAAAAAAAAATATTATTAGTGATTAAAAATGCAGGAGAGGGGGGGAGGGGGTGGTAGATCTAGATCTAGATAGATCTAGATTTAATCCTCCTGCCTCTTTACGGCAATTTTTGTGCAGTCTTCCATCATGTCCAAGTGGGCCTACTATCTGGATCTAGAATCTAGATCTTGATCTAAATCATCTGAAATGTTACCGAAAGGCCGTCGTTATTCGGATTCGAGTCCGAATAACATTTTTTCATATTCGGGAGTCTGAATTTTTAAAAATCTTATTCGGACTCGAGTCCGAATATGAAAAAATGTTATTCGGACTCGGGTCCGGAAAAAAGGAAGTGTCTTCGTTCTATAGTTCTAACGTTCAGTGCTTCCAATTTTC